CAGTCTAGAGGGAGAGAAAGAGAGAATTTCCAGAATGGAGAGGGGAAGGGAGAAAGGGAAAGAACACAGAAGGTGAGGCATGCCCCAAAGAACTGTGTCTTCGGCTTCTTTGTTAATAAGGCACAGGAGATTGTGCATTTTGGAGTTAGATCATATGTTATGTAAACTGTCTGAAACATCTGATAAACAACAGAAAATGAGGTGTATTCAACATTTGAGGGATTAGAAGTGGTTAAGACGCTGAACTGCAGACCAGAAAGTCTGTAGTTCAGCAGTTCGGGACCCGAGTGCCACGTGACGGAGTGAGCTCCTGTCTCTGGCCCCAGCTCCTGCCAACCTAGCAGTTTGAAAGCAAGAAATTGCAAGTAGATAAATAGGTACCGCTTTGGTGGGAAAGTAACAGCGTTCTGTGCGCCTCAGCATCAAGTCATGCCGGCCACATGACCATGACACATGTCTTTGGACAGCGCTGGCTCTTCGGCTTGGAAACGGAGATGAGCACTGCATCCCTAGAGTCGGATTCGACTGGCTTTCAAGCAAGGGAAACCTTTACCTATAGTGGGAAAACTACTGCAGAGACATTACATAATAAATGCTAAATACCTAGAGCTAGAAAGAGCTTGAAAGCATAGTCATCTAGGAAATCCCTTTTTGGAGCAGAAATCAAGCCTGGGAAGATACAGTCAGAGAATAAAATGAGCCAGGGACCAGTCAAGGAGCACAGGTGTGTGTATGTGTGATAATAGAATTGCACTGTATAGCCTGGGGTGTTACCCGCTTCCTGCAGTTATTCAGGCACTGCAATCCTGGAAACTTTAGCCAGCAACTCATGTCAATCACAGTAGCAATGTTTAAATGGCCCAGTGACTGAAGAAGTCCAAGTAAACTTCTGGTCATATGGTAGTGTTTGTGATGTTTTCTGTGGCTCAGAAACAGTAATACTTAAGTCAAAACGGGGGGAAATACCTTTCTGCTTTTATTGATAGCAGGCTGAATGATAGGGAAGCTAATAGAGCTTGGCTTCTTGATTCTGGCTGAGAGACTCTGTGAATACAGTGTTGTCTGCTGTATTCAGTTTGTATCATTGTTTATTTATAGTTGTGTGTCTTTGTGTGGAAGGAGCCATCTAGACTTATGAGTTCTCTGCTCCTATCTGGTTATCTGGCTTACATAAATTAATTGGAGTATAAGTTATTCTTGAAATAAAATTATGCTGAAGTAAGCGTGGGCTTCACAAATATCCTGTTCCTACACCCAGCCCGAGGGCAAATTCTGACAGAATATCCTTGGTGTTAAAAGCCACTGGAAGCACTTCCATCTGATGGCAGTTGCGTAATGCTTGAGAGCTGCTTTGTATGTGGATGGGCCAAACTCTTGGAGCATCTGTACACTAGCATCGCTTGATTTCTGTGGCAGCTGGTAGCATCTTCCACTTAAAAAGATCATCTGTGTGGTGAGCAGCTCTCAAAATTGCTTCTCCGGCATTGAGCTGTTCCTGTATCTAGTGTTTCTATCTGTCTCCAGTGTATGTGCTATTAAATGAGATAACAAGGCAGTCTACTCGTGTATGCTCCCACTGACTTCTTGAAGAGTTGGAAGTGTAAGAGATAGGTTTATTGCACACATTTCCTGTATTCTTTATTGTATTATCATAAAATGATACACATTGGGACACAAAAAATCCCAGATTCACATATAGAGCCAGTTTGGTGTAGTGGTTAAGTGTGCGGACTCTAATCTGGGAGAACCGGGTTTGATTCCCCACTCCTCCACTTGCACCTGCTGATGTGACCTTGGGTCAGTCATAAGCTCTGGCACAGCTGTCCTTGAAAAAGAGCAGTTTCTGTCAAGAGTTCTCTCAGCCCCACCCACCTCACAGGGTGTCTGTTGTGGGGAGGGGAAGGGAAAGGAGTTTGTAAGCCGCTCTGAGACTCCAAGTGAAGGGTGGGGTATAAATCCAATCTCTTCTTCTTCTCTTATAGGCTAGTGAGGTCTGAACTTGCTGAGACTGAGAGGGGAAAAGATTTTATTTATTTATTTGTTTGTTTGTTTAATTGATTTATACCCTGCCCTCCGGGGGGGGGGGGTGTCATAGTGGATAGCTCAATAAAAGTGTCAACCCAGTGTGCTGCAGTGGTGAAAAAGGCAAACTCTATGTTAGGGGTGATTAGAAAAGGGATTGAGAATAAAATGGCCCATATTGTAATGCCCCTGTATACATCTATGGTGTGGCCTCATTTGGAATACTGTGTACAGTTCTGGTCACTCAAAAAGGACATTTCAGAGCAGGAAAAAGTCCAGAGAAGGGCGACCAAGATGATTAGGGGGTTGGAAGAACTCTCCTATGAGGAAAGACTGAAGCATCTGGTACTTTTCAGTTTAGAAAAGAGACAATAAAAGGGGAGACATGATAGAGGTTTATAAAATTATGTATGGGGTGGAGAGAGTTGACAAAAAGAGAAAATTTTCTCCCTTTCCCAAAATACTAGATTTTGAAGGCATCCCATGAAACTGATGGCTAGTAGGTTCAGGATGGAGAAAAGGAAATCCTGCTTTACACAGAGTGTGATTAAAATGGGGAATTTCCTGCCATAGGATGTAGTGATGGCCACAGGAATAAACAGCTTTAAAAGAGGATTAAATAGATTCATGGACGATAAGGCTATCAGTGGCTACTAGCCATGGTGGCTGAAGGGAGCCTCCACATTCAGAGGCACTAATCCTTTGAATCCCAGAGCTAGGAGACAACATCAGGGGAAGGCCTTGGCCTCTATGCCGTTTTTGGCTGCTCAGAGGAATTGGGTGCCCAGTGGTTATCCTCCCTGACCTCCATTCCTGGCCTCCTTTCATTTCCTTTTCCTGTCTCAAATCCCTCCTCCTCTGTCTCTCCCCAGCCTCCTGGTCCTGCCTGTCAAACTGGCCCCACCTTTACTGTACCGGCCACCCCAGGATTGGCTACAAAGCTCTGCCCCTGTGTAGGCCTTGTCACAGTGCGGGCCCGCCCCTCCCTATACCGGTGTAGGCAGGAAGTATGGGGTGGCATTGGCTGTCCAGACGCGGACACTCTGTGCTGTGGTCGCTTTGAGGGAAGCCTCGGACCCAGCAGCCACCCCTGTGTCACCATTCAGGCCTGCCAGGCCTGGTCCCCTTGTGCTCCACGGCAGCTGCTGGGCCTGTGAGGGACCCTGCTTGGCCGCTTCCTGCAGTGCAGGTCCAATGAATTCTGCTGCCTCTGCTGGCTCCCCCACGCACACTGGCTTCGACGTCAGTGCAGGTAAGCTGACCCTGGTCCTTCCCCCGCTGTGGCTTGAGATCAGGGTTGAGGCTGCAGGTGACTTGGTGGATGCAGCGGCCTGTGCCTCACTGACATGGGGTCCAGGAGGCGCATCTGCCAGATAATCAGAGGTTGTGCATTATGTTTACTGCCCTCGTGCTAAGGAGTACTAGGCAGTGGCAGTGTGAGGGTGGGCATCAAGGAGAGACTTCGTTTAAGGAAATAACGGACCATTTTTTTGGGGGGGGAGCTGCTCTGCCCCTTCGTGCCACATTTGCAAGCCCCCTGGTCTTTCTCAGTGCTGGGAGCCTTGACGCTGCAGTGCCAAACATGAGCGCCTTTCTGTCCCAACTGCTTGTAAACTTCTGGGGAGTGGGGAGAGAGAAGCAGCTGCCTTGGCTGATAAACAATAGGGAGGATCTGCAGCCACTTCAAGTTTCATTTTGCAGGGAGAGAAAGCAAGCTGTGTGGCCGATCCCCTCAGGCAGGCATTCTGGGTGTCCCGGGGCTTGTGTGGGGCAATGCCCAGCTCCCTGCCTGCTCACCCGGTGTTATGTATTGAGCTCACGTTTTCGCCTGAGCACAGACTTAGCTTTGCTCACAGAATAATAGGGGACCAGGATCCTGGAAGGAACCTATTGTACATGAGTTTTTTTTTAAATAGCCTATCACTGGGAGTGTGTGTGTGTTGGGTGTGGTGTTTTGCACGCATTTAAGCAGGACTCCGGTCCTGCTACTTCTTGTCTTAGAGTTGAGCTAATCACTAAATAAAGCATGAGCTGATCACTAACGCATCTAAGAACCCAGTACATTTCGCCCTGCTACTGCATCACAGCATGATGCCTGCTGGAGAGGAGGCAGCGGCAGTGCACTTGCCTCCCAACCCAGGGAAAAGATGGCCTTGATGGAGCCTAGCCAAACTGCTCCGCAAGGGACACACCTCCCTTGCTCAACCCTGCTGGTCCTCTGCCTAGGGAGGGAGGGAGGAAGGGAGGGAAGAAGGCTGGCTGCCCCACAGGAGGCTTCTCCAGAGCTGGATCTTGTGCCCCTCCCCAGGCAGCCAGGTTTCCCAGCTAGAGCCCGCCTCCCCCTGGCTATTTTATGGACACTGCAACTAGGGATGCCAACTCCATTGGGAACTTCCTGGATGTTTGGGCAGGGGGAGTCTAATGCAAGGGAGTCCGCTCTCCAAAGTAGCCATTTCCTCCAGGGTGATGCTCTGTATTCTTGGGGCTTGGAGGGCAACAGTGGGAGGGCTTCTGGAGTTCTGGCCCTGCTGGTGGGCTTCCTGAGGGTAACTGGGTTTTGGCCACTGTGTGACACAAAGTGCTGGGCTGGATGGGCTTTTCTCAGCTTCTCTCAGCCAGTTTGGTGTAGTGGTTAAGTGCGCGGACTCTAATCTGGGAGAACCGGGTTTGATTCCCCACTCCTCCACTTGCAGCTGCTGGATAACCTTGGGCAAGCCATAGTTCTGTCAGAGCTGTCCTTGAAAGAGCAGTTCTCTCAAAGCTCTCTTAGCCCCACCTAACCCACAGGGTGTCTGTTGTGGGGAGGGGAAGGGAAAGGCGCTTGTAAGCCACTCTGAGACTCCGAGTGAAGGGCGGGGTATAAATCCAATCTCCTCCTCCTCCTCCTCTTATGTTCTAACCCAGTGTGCTGCAGCTGTGAAAAAAAGGCAAATTCTTAAGTTATGGATGATTAGGAAAGGGACTGAGAGAATGAAACAGCTGATATTGTAATGCCCCTGTATAGATCTTTGGGGCGGCCTCATTTGGAATATTGTGTGGACTCAGAGGAACTGATTGGCCACTATGTGAGACAGGATCCTGGACTAGATGGAACACTGGTCTGATCCAGCAGGGCTCTTCTTATGCTCTTAAAGCATGTTTGTATTTTGACTAAAAATAATATAGTTAATTGGGTTTGTGTGCATCCTTTATAAAGTTTATGTATACATGGCCTGGCCAGACAAAGTGACATATATGCCAGGTCCAGCCCTCATAACAAATGAGTTCAACACCTCTGTAAGGCTAGAAGTGTAACAGTGCAATCCTGCATGGAGGTATTTCAGTCTAAGTCGTAATCTTAAACACTGTTACTAGAGAGTAAATTCAACTGAAATTAGTGGCACTTTCAATTGAGTAAACGTTCTTAAGATTGCCCAGTAATAATTCACTTAAAAAAAAAAAAAAACCTTCTGAGCAATGCTCCCTCTAAGCTGTGGAGTCTTGTGAGCAAAAATTCTGCTCTATGAGCTACCAACATTAAAGTTGTGAGTGAGTGATTTGGCTACTGCATCAATTAGTTTGCTCAGGAGCTGGAGGCTAAAAAACTGTGAGCTAGCTCAGACTAACTCAGCTTAGAGGGAACACTACTTCTGAGTACAGTATACACTTTCAGTACATAAAGTGGTTAACACAAACTGCTCTTGCCTCTACTTCTGACATAACTATGGGCCAAACAAAACAAGTTGTTGGTCTCCTGTCTCTTTAATTATCTGTAATTATCAGCCATTGCGGGCAGGGGGTCATTTGGAAAGAGACTGTACTGCTGGGTGAAGAGAGATTTTTACATCACTCCTTACCCTCATGCAGTTCCTGTATGTTTTCTTTCTACAGGGACAAATAGAATGGGGTGGCATGGGGAAAAAGTGTTAAACCTTCCCTCACCCAGCCCTGCAGTCTCAATTCAACCTGGGGCCTCCCATGACTGCCATTTGTCGAAACTGAAAGAGGCAGTAGATTGGATCATGAATCTCCACTGCCTTGATTTCCTTAATTAATGCATTTGCTTGAATTGTTTTAAATTGTTACATTGTTGTTTATTTTAAAAGAAACGGTATGCATGAAACAAAGTATATTCCTGTAATAGAGTGATATGTGGAGATGGCCCCCTTGGAGCTGGGCATTAGTGTAGCATTTTTAAATCATGTGCCCTTTTGTGAAAAGGTGTCTTTCCTCATTTCAGTGCTGGATACAAATGACAGATTTCTTAGGAAAATAACAGTTGGGCAAGCCAGTACAGAGAAGGGGTTTTCCCGTCCAGTAAGTAATGTTCTGATAGTCTTTGGAAAATAAAAGTCTTTTAATGTTAACATTTTTTCCTCTTGTTGTTATTTCAGTTAATTGTTAGATGTGCAATTTCTAGTGTTACAGTGCAGGATGGGTAGTGTTAGAGCAGAGCCTTTCAGGCGGCATTCACTTTTGAGCTATGATAACCAACATTGCATCAGTATGTGGGGAAATAATTGCTTAAAAGTAACTTTTCTAGAAAGTAAGAGTTAATAAAGTAACAAAGGTGTAAAAATGGTTTATATAGAGAATATAGAGTTTTAGCAGAAAGAGCTCCCATAGTACATTACTTATTACAAGCCTTATTTCTTTACAGCGGCCAAATGTAATGTGCTAGACCCATGAAAGTGTTCCAGGTGGATCTACTTCAAGCATAATGGGTTTTGTTCTGCCAGTTTTTCTACTGGTACAAGAGGGGTGAGAGATTGTTGGACTTTTTGGGCTCCAGTGAGGAGGGGAGCTGGGTATGATCAGTCTCCTCTCCTTCTTGTGCTAGTGGAAAAGCTGGAATGGTCAAATCCCACATGAGAAACAGATAGCATTTATGCTGGCTGAAGTGTTGCAAATATGCAGCCCAGCCCTTTAAACACACATTTGTGGGCAGATACAGCAGGGATAGAAAACTGTCTTTCAAATAGCTGTGGAGGGTATGGCAATATTGGATGCAACCACATAGACTGAGCTTGCACATCTTCCCACAGGCAGCCCCTGGTACATGTCTTAACTGCTACCTCATCACTCCCATTTCCTTGCCTTAGTTAGGACTCATTTTGATGACAGCGTCCCATGGTTTTTCTTCATTACCCTGCTGATTCCTGCATCTGTGTGAATAAGCAGAGGATAGTTATTGGTTAAAGATCTCCTGTATCTGCAGCCTGCAAATTGGGAGTGCTAGACTATCACTAGAGAGTGAGAAATTAGTGCCACCCGGGCAGACCCCTTGGGCTGTAGGTATCTTGAACAGGGAAAGGCTACAGTCATATAGTATCCAGAATCTAGCAAACTATTGGAAATCCAAGGGTATGTTTGGACTAATCAGTTAAAGAAAAGTATGGATTAGAGTTTCAGTGGCCTCTGTCTTTGTATACCTTTATTTATTTGGTGTTTTTTTTCAGGCTCAATTTGATATTGCTGTTGCAAGTGAAATCATGGCAATCTTAGCACTGACCACCAGTCTTTCAGATATGAAAGAAAGAATGGGGAAGATCGTAGTTGCTAACGACAAAAACGGGCAGCCAGTGACAGCTGAGGATTTGGTATGGACAATGGAATGCTTTTTACAAGTAGTTGTTTTGCTTTTAAAGATGCCTTTTATTTTACTTTCATAGTTAAACTATATTTAGCTAACTTTTTGTGGTAGGGTTTTTAATATATTTATTTTATTTTCAAATATTTCTGTCTCACTCTCCTGAATCTTAGAGCAGCTCACAACTTCATGCAGATTCAATACAATAAAAACATAATTGCTCTTCTGCCATTCTGTTCCACAACTGTGGCACTGTTACTGAAAATGGCTGTCATCTCATGGATACCTATCATTATGGATACCTAAAAATGACATCTTAATAGGTACACAGTTCAGTACCAGATGAGGATGCCCCTTAAGTACATGTCTTTTTGAGTGTAAGCTAAATAATCTAGAATCAAACAGGAAGAGGGGTTGAAGTGTCTTGTTAACTAGAGACTGTTTTTACTAAAATATCTTATTGTCCTACATCAGTTGTTCTCAAGCTGTGTGATACACCTCTGGGGGAGGGTTTTAGAACACCTCAGGGTAGGGGACAGAGTTTCAGGAAAAGCCGAGGCCAGGGGAGCCTTCTTCCCCAACCAAGAAATGATTTTGTCAAAATGCCTTTCAGCAAGCATTTCTCATTGACTCACATTGCACCTATGGAGGCAACCACTTCTGCATTCACCCCATAATTACCACATAATTTGAGAAGAGTTCTTGCTACATTCAAATGGTATTTTCTTCTCTCTCCCTCCCCTCTTTCTGTTGCCTTGTTCTGTTCTCCATTTTATTGCCACTGCAATGTCTAATGCACTGTGTCCTAAGGAACAGGTAGTGTTGTGTTGAGCCCAGAATATGTTGTGAAAGAAGTATGAGAAACATTGGCCTATATAGATAAATTCCTATGTGTGTGAGAGAGACTCTTTGATCTTGTGGTTAAAAAAAAAAAGAATTATTCTTCCACTTGAGAGAAAGGAAGACACCCACAGATAATTTTTTTCAGAACAAAATTTGAAGCCTCAGACATAAAACAGGAGTTCAGTGGCACCCAAGATTTTTTCCTCACATAAGTTTTTGTGAGCCAGAACACACTTATTGGATGCTTGAAGTGAGATCTGACTTGTGAAAGTTTATGCTGGAATAAATTTTGTTGGACTCGCATTTTATTTTGCTGGTATACTGCCACCCATCTGACACTCTTTAGTGTATGTTTCCATAAATTCTTAAGTTTGTGTTCAAAACCCACACTTTCCCTCTAATGTTCTATATGTTAAATCAATGTAGTAATTTAAGTAGTCTTCAATTCATTATTTAATGTTCAAGCTAAACCACTAATTCCTTCTCTCTTTCAATTATTTCAGATGTGAATGAAGTTTAATAAACCCTGCAAATATGCAATTGCTCTTAATTTCAGGGTGCTATACCACATATTCAGTGTAGTGTAATAAAATCTAAAGTACACATTGGCAAATGAAAACCAGATGCTGCAAGAGTTGGAAGTGGGAGGAGGCAGAGAAGAAAAGATAACTTGAATATTTCATAAACTGAGAGGCTCCCTTCATGAATGTAATGGATTAAAAAACCCACCCTCTGTAATGGCTTTAAAACTCAGCCTACAGAATTTGCTGCCAAAATATGGTGTTCATTGAGCAGATTTCTGAAGATGAGATTGCAGTTTGAGTGAAGAATTGTAGCAAAGTACTTGATGGACAGATGCCATATCTCCTTAGCAAATTAAATTGTCATGCCCAAGATTTCTATTTCAGGAGCTGTAGGGAATATAAATATGTAACTATTTGTTTAGCTAAGAAGCTTCTCAGGTTACTGTGTATGTCTGTTAAAAATATTAAAGTACCTTTGCCTTTACAGTAAAATGCTCATTTTAGCAATAGTATACAGGTCAGGATGGTGCCTTGAAACCCTAGAGTAAGTCTCACTTTGGGGCTAACTTTATTAGGATCCTAGAATTATCAAAAGACCCATCGTTATTCCACATGGAATGAGGTGATAGCCGATATCCTGTTGTTTGATAGTAGATTTCTTATTCCATACTGGACAAAGCTGGTATCAAACTAGAGATCCCATCTGGACTTTTGAGCCATAAACTGGAGTTAAAGCCATTGCCAAAGTCAAATGACAAACTGCATCCAGTAGGCACAATTTATTACCCTCCATCTGTCCATGAATCTGTGTATCATATGAGAAACAGTATTGGTCCTAGAGAGTAGGAATAAGGCATTAGAAGATTCAAAGAAGGTTGGTTTTTATACCCCACTTTCCGCCACCCTAAGGAGTCTCAGAGGGGCTTACAATCACCTTCCCTTCCTCTCCCCACAACAGACACCCTGTGAGGTAGGTGGGGCCGAGAGAGTTCTGATAGAGCTGTGATTGGCCCAAGGTCACCCAGCAGGTTTGATGTGGAGGAGTGGGGAATCAAATCCGATTCTGCAGATTAGAGTCTGCCACTCTTAACCGCTACACCATGCTGGCTTACCATGGGAAGAAATTCTTAAAGATGACCACAGTGTACTTATTAATAAAATATCTAGTGCCACCATATGTAGGGCTTTGCTATTCTGATTACAGCTGTACTAGTTGTTTACAGACTTTATCTAGTTTTACTTAGTTGGTTATGCCACATCTAGTCATCATAATAACCATAAAAGGATCTTATTGGATTAGACTGAGGGTCCCTCTAGTCCGGAACTTGTTTTCAAAAGAGTCCAGCCAGATGCTTCTGGGAAATCCACAAACAAGACCTGAAGGCAGCAACTTGTTTCAGTTATGTAGAGCAGGGGTATACTGAGGTATAATGCATCCTTGCTAAATGGAACCCCTGTGATAATAGCTATTGACAAATCCCCATGATTAGTATAACTTTTTGAAAGGTACCTAAGCTAATGCCCATCACCACATTCTGTGGCAATAAATTAAGTATGTGTTATGCAAAAATGTTTTCTTTTGTCTGTTTATGATCAAGTTCATTGGATGACTCTGCAAAATTGCTGGGGGGGGGAGTTATCTTTATAAACTTCTCTTTGTCTTTTTATCTTATACTGAAAAGTCTGTGATTTGCTTTAGCTTTCCTCCTATGAAAAATACTCCAACCTCTTTATCAGCGTCGTTGCCCTTTTCTGTACCTTTCCAATGTGGTGTTAGCCTTTTGGAGATGTGACCAGAACTGTACACGGTATTCCAAATACAACATAAACTTACCTACAGTGATAGAACAAAGTAAGAGTCCAGTGGCATCTTTAAGACCAACAAAGCTTTATTCAAGGTGTGAGCTTTCGTGTGCATGCACACTACCTTGATTTACCTACAGTACTTGATACTGCAAGTTTTATTTTATCTCTTTTCTAATCATTGCCAACCTTGATTTGACCTTTTTATGCCTGCAGGCTGAATTAGAAGTTTTCAGCAAACTGTCTACTCCAGCCTCAAGAACTCTTTCATAGTCACTTTAGAGCCTGTTAGCACACAAAGTGTAAAGTTTTTAATTAGTCAGCATTGGATTTCACCATCCTATGTAGTTTAGCGTCATGCACAAAACTGGCTACACTGAAGTAGGGTTTGACTAATGGATGTGGAAGGAGGGTAGAAGACTGGATTCCCTAAGGCACCTCCTTCCATGGGGGAAAGGAAAGGACTGAGAGACCAGCTAATTCTTTGTTTGCAAAACAAGACTAGCAGCCATGCACCGAGCTCTCTACAAGCTGCACAATCCAGTCTTCAGTGTAGCACCAGCAGAGGGCACAAAGGTACCAGCTGAGAGAAGATGCCTGCCCAGTGAATGGCCCTTGATGGTTCCATGTCGCCAGTAGTAATTCCTCCTCTCTCAGGATCTCAATAAATTGCAGAAAACTTGAAATAATGTGGGGTGTATGTCTCTCACTTTGTCCTGGCAATGTGAGACCTGCGCTATTGCTTCCATCTGGAAAGGTACTACATGAAATAATACAAGGCCCTGCTCCTCACCAGAGCCCTCTGCCATGCACAGAAGATTTAAGAAAAAGATGCTCTTTCCCCCCTTTTTTACTCCAGGCTTTGGGGATGGACTTAAGTGCTTTTCTTGCTGGTTCCCCTTCCTCATGCTGGTTCAAGTGAAGGGCTCTTGATGGTTCCATGTCGCCAGTAGTAATTCCTCCTCTCTCAGGATCTCAATAAATTGCAGAAAACTTGAAATAATGTGGTGTATCTGTCTCTCACTTTGTCCTGGCAATGTGAGACCTGCGCTATTGCTTCCATCTGGAAAGGCACTACATGAAATAATACAAGGCCCTGCTCCTCACCAGAGTCCTCTGCCATGCACAGAAGATTTAAGAAAAAGATGCTCTTTCCCCCCTTTTTTACTCCAGGCTTTGGGGATGGACTTAAGTGCTTTTCTTGCTGGTTCCCCTTCCTCATGCTGGTTCAAAGCCTGCTTGGATGTGAGAGAAAAGAAGATGTGATCTTCTTGCGCTGCTTCTTGTGCAAAAGGAAATAGACCCTTGCAGAAGCCTTGAAGGAAGGGGGGGAATCAGGGGCAGCCACTAATAATGTCCAGTTAGTAAGCCAAGCTAAAAATTTTGAACCCCTGTCTCTGACTCTTTCAGTTCTAACGGCATATATTGATTCAGTATTCTTCCATCAGTGTTGTTTTGCATTATGTAATTCAGAATCTTGTTTCTTATTGTCATTCAAAGTTTACAGTGATTCAAGCGGTCTTTCTTGTATTTTGAAATAGTCATAGCATCACCCTGTGAAGAGAGAATCATCTGTTTGAGGTTTTAGATTTACTCAAAATTAGGTTGCTTGAAATTTTTCTGTTTCTAATATTATCCCGAAAATTGAAGCTACAATTAACTTAAGTGATGTTTGTCTTTTTTAGGGAGTAACTGGTGCTTTATCAGTCTTGATGAAGGATGCGATTAAACCAACACTGATGCAGACATTAGAGGTGAGTCCAGTCAGTTTTTAAAATTATCTGCTAATTTTAATCTTTCATGTTCCTTTTCAAGACTGTCATTAAATTGCCAGAGTGCACTATTTAAAACAGGGTTTTACAGAAGATGAAGCTGAGTGGGCTGCTGTTATCGTATTAAATCTGCATAAGCATTTTACAAACTATGTTGTTTGAAGAGGATGTTTACCTAGAATCTAAGAACACTGGGAGTTTCATAGAGTAGCAGTGCAAGAAACATAATTAAGATCTGAAGTGCATTATCTGCATGCTTTTAATCCCTTTTCCACCCATTGAGAGTTAGGACTGGTTATATATCATGGGATTATAGCCTGTGGTCTTAATCTAAATGTGCCCTTCAGTACATGGAAGGATTTTGTGGGAAGATCTGTATGGTTTGGATGCAACCCTGTGCTTTTAACAGCTATGGAACAGAAATGAATAACGGCTTCTTGCCTATCCTAGTTAGACAGCAAATAAATATAAATTCTCTTTTTAAAAAGGTTCTAACTCTGTGGTCACTGAACTAACTATATACTTGTGCATTAGGATTAGGATTTAAGATGCTACTGCTTTGAAACAGCAACAATGTGATGTACAATAGAGAGTGAGCATACTAGTCGCGATGGATCCTGGGAGTTTGTCCACGGTGTTTAAACTGTTTTAACTGTATTTTTATTGCACTGTGTGCCTTAATTGTTTTAAATTGTGGTGTTATATTACACCTCTGTGTTTTGTAAGCCGCCCTGAGCCCGCGTGCAGGGAGGGCGGGATATAAATGAAACAAACAAATAAATAAACAAACAACAAAAAGATAACATCATTTGTTACTTTATCAGGCTCACTTGTCAAATCTATGTTTATAAAAAGATCTTGGTGCTACTTCAGTGCCTGGTCTACACATGCAGCAGAATGGGGTGGGGTAGGAAAGATCTAAAGTGATAAAATGGACTGCTATAGAGGAGCATTCAAAATGTGACACCCCTTCAGTGTGATCTTACCATCCAAAATACCAAGGACTGCTTCATCTGCTAGAGCAGCAGCCTTAGTATGCATGACAACTTGAACGGTGGAGGTCTCTGAACTTCCACTTTATTGAACAGCAAGCAGCTCTTCCTACCCTATCCTGCTCTGAAACTGTCTTGATATAAACAGGAGGCAGAGTTTTGTGCTACCAAAATCCCTTGGGGATCTCACACAAAGGACATTTGGTTGCCCTGCATTCCAGTCTGCCCGTGCTTAACTCCCATACTGGTCTATAAGTCTAATGCAGAAGATTATTTCCTATTTTGGATCTGATGACTGTTTGGCTTTTTCATGTGTTACCCAGGGTACTCCAGTTTTTGTGCATGCTGGACCCTTTGCAAATATTGCTCATGGTAATTCTTCAGTTTTGGCAGACAAAATTGCCCTTAAATTGGTGGGCAAAGATGGATTTGTAGGTAAGTACAAAATTGTTTCTTCTTGGCATGTTCATGGGCATTAGTTTGAAGTAAATGTCCGAACATTTATAACTGACGTGTGTGTATGTGTAATGTTTTATATAACATTACTTAAGTATGTTATAGTATTACTTTCTAAGTCAAAACATATTGTCTGTCTGATTTGTTTGTTGAGGGTCTAACCCTGCTATGCATAAACAGAAGGCTCTTCACAGCCTTCCTCTTTCCCCTGTGTGCTCCCAAAAAAAACTTCTGAGGAGGGTCAGGGGATCCATGTGACATGCCATGTGACATGAAGAAGTTGCAGTAAGGGGGAATCCAACAAAATCCCTTCCCCCCCTCCTCTTAGACCAGCAGAGCAAGGGCCTTAAAGAGATCTTTTAAACTCTTTAGGAGTGCTGCAACACAATTTAGAGCGCATGCTGAATTCTGTTACACTTCTGATATTCGCAGCAGAAATGCCACCCAGTTCAGTTCTCTTAAAATACTCTTAATAATTAAACAGCTCTTTAAACCTGAGCTCTAACCTATTTAAATATATGTGTTCTGTAAATCTGGACATTTGTGATTCTAAGGGATGACTGATGCATACAGTAGGAACACCTGTTGGGACAGGAACATGAAATTTTGCAGCTTGCTCTATAATGGATGGTTAGTCCTTTCATCTTCATTAGGCCTCATGCAAAAGTTAAAACTTCTTCCATCAAAGATTTTAAAAAATAAAAGACTATTTAAAGTTTCCAGTGCCAATTAAACAATTAGTTCTTTATTAGGTCTACTTGGGAAGTGGGGCTCTGCTCTTTTATACCATGAACTCACTGACCAAGAATCTTGTATCAAGAATAATGTTGTTATTATGATTATGTAAGCGGCAGCGCTGTAGGTAGTTGCTCTAGTCCAAAGCAGAGGGGAAAGATATAAGTAAATTCTGCTACCACCCCAAAGCCTTGATGCCCCTTAAAGATTACCAGATGCTTAGTTATTCATAAAAATAGCAGAAATTGACCCCCAAAGCTATGACCAGTTGCATAGAGGAAGGCTGGCCAATACCAAGGGCAGCTGATAATGCTTGGAACCTAGGAAGTCTGAAGTTTCCAAGAAAGGTGTGGTGGCTCAAGGAAGAAGGTGCCAGCCCAGCTTCTAAGAGGTTCCCAGCTCAAGACCTCTTGCAGCTGGCAGTCCTGATCATTTGCAGGGATTGGGGCTTGTACCTCTTGGACTGGTATAAAATATCACCAGGTAGAAGGTGAGTGGGAGAAGAAATACGACAGCTTTGCCCACTGTCCTAAATACATTTCTGGGCATCTGTGGGTCATTAGTTTATTAGGACTCAGCCTACAGTTTTCTCACATGTGGGACCTTGGGTGTTTTTGTGTTAGGAGAGAGTTGTACAATGGGAAAACAAGATGGTGAAGCAATGTAACTGTCATTCAAACCCCCACCCCAAAGAAACAGGCTGTGATGCATTGAATAGAGAGTTTAGGTGAGATAGTTTTATATGCATTTTTCCCCTCACTGATTGCCTCATCACTGTTCCCAATTTAGGGGAAGAAATGAGTGTGTTACAGATTTAAATACCTTTTAGGAGGAGAAGGGTGTTGTGTTTGATTCCCTTTCTTAGATTTTGTGTAGTTGCACAAACTTTGGCATTCTTTTTGCCCATAGTAAGCTTAGGGTGAAGTAAACTTTATTGAGCTGCCTAAATAATGGGCTTTCTTTGTACTATCCTGAATATGTTTATCACAATAAAACAAACAATGCTGGTTACTTAACTATCTGTGCAGCATGTACACAGTTGTATTTCAATGGATGCCTTATACATACAACCACATTTTAACTGTATAACAAAAGATTTATAAATGGCTTTACAAAAATAGTGCAGCATGTGTGTTTTAATAGAAAATGAATAATCTCCAATATATTTTATATATATATTACAAAGAGCTTTGTGGTATTTCCTTGGTAGTGGTCCTTTCTCCAAAAAAGGAAGCAAATCCTAAATGCTTTGCCTTAAACCTCTTTTGGCAGAAAACTCCACACATGTGCTGCCTTAAAAAGTGCATGGCTCAAGATTTTTTATAGGATTGTGTTTTTCTTTTGCTTGGCTTTACTGAAAAGTTACCATCTACCAACTGTTCCAGAGAGTTATACTTTAAAACTTCTAACTATCTTGTGTCATAACATTCCCTGTCTAGCTTTTGTACTCCCATTTGTTTTCATAGTTAAGAAAATACAATGCCTTTTGTAACAGAAGTCTCTCTTTCCTTTCTTTTGGGTCAAATGTTAAATTAATAATGGCTGCCATCCAAAATAGTGTATAGTGAGATCTAGGTGTACAGTGGGCCTTTTTCTCTTTGTCAAATGCATTGCAAGCAGTGTTTTAAATCCTCTGAGAGTTGGGGTGTGTGTGATGTCTCTGGATGGGATGGGATGGGATGAGGCAGACTATAGTCGACAAGAACAATGTTCTTCTGAGTTGGCTTGGACCAATATTCAGTTGGAACAAAGATGTCAAAAATGACAGCTATGTTTCTAGTTTTTCCCTCCATAATGTTTAGAAGAATTTATCCAAGTGCTGACATCATTGTGTTTCCTTGCTTCCCATCAACCAGCAGTGATATGAAGAGGGACACGGTGTTGTGACATGAGGACATCAGAAAGTGGTGTAAAACATTATGAGAGAAAGGGAAGCTAGACACATTGTTGCTTTTACTAGTGGCAGCTGTATGTATATCATTATCTCAAGTTCTGGTCTTGAGTACACTTGAACTCTACACACGGCAGTCACAGTGTTAAAAGTAAGATACACTATGGCTTGTACATAGGATCAGAGGTTGGGCATAATGTATCTTAACACAAGGTAGGTTTCTTCTGCTTTAGTACATGGCTGTTCTTGTCTTTTTCTTTTAACCTGACTTCAAAACAGAAGCAATCAAGGTACAGGTCTTGGGCTTAGTTCATGTGCATATACTTTCCTGAGAATCAGTGTTGTAAAGAGCAGGGAGACAAAGGCCTGTAATTCTATAAGAGACATTCTCTGTTCCAGCAGAACGGGGCTTGATATTAAATTTAAAAGTCAGCAAATGTGCTAAGAATCAAGTGCTACAAATAACTCAACTCCAAATCAATGGGGAGGATCGGGGAATACAAAACATACCAGACTCTTGAGCAATCAGTCTCTCTCACAAACATTTTTCTTTTCCCCTGTTTTCTTTTTCATCCCCTCCTCCAATAATGCGAGAGCAAGTCCTCTGAAAGTAATTATCCCTTGTGGGAAATGATCTTCTTTCCAATATAAAGGAGTATCATTTGGAATGACATCATACTTTAAATGAAGGACTAGCCCAGTGGGCTTCCTTCATTCTATCCAGCTGTGTCTCTTCTCAAGCCAAACAATAAAAGGAGCCAGATCATTACTTGACGTGATGCTGAGATTATTGATGGATGCACTGATGATACACAAAAACAAAAAGGCAAAAACTACATTCTGGTCTCTTCCTGTACCCCCAGATCAAAAATGCATTATTATTACTAGATTACATTCTTACTGCTTGCATCACCTTCCAAGAAAATGGCTTTGGCAATCAACAGGCCAATTCATTCACCTTTATATTGTTCAAACCAAAAAGCTACCAGCTCCAAACCTTATATTTCAACTTTACGTTGTTCTAGTATGAAAATATCATCTATATATATAAAAGAAAGTCCCCTCACCATAAAATCAACACCCAGGCCAAACCCCTGGATCTAGAAACACAAAATTCGGGGAGAGCACTCCTACCACTCACTAAGAAGGGATTTTTAGAAATCCGACCCCTAAGTGGGTCAAAAGGGGTAAAATGTGCTCCCCCCATTGATTCCTATGTGGCTGCCAGGCTGCTGCCTCCTTGCACCCCCACTCTCTGACTGGTCAGCTGCAGAGCTCAGTGTTCTGAGGTAAAAAAGAAACAGTTACAGGGGACTACAGAGAGCTAATGACAGTTGAGGAAATCAGGAAAGGCCAACATCCTGTGAGGTGAAGCAAAGCTGCTGGCCCAGCCTCCCTATGGCTTCAAACATGCTCTCCCCTCCTACACCTGACAGGCAGTTGTCTGTCAGGTGCAGCAGCAGATGCAGGGTTTCTTAAAGCCACGAGGGAGCCTGCCCAGCAGTAACACTTTTAGTGATCCTGCCAGCCCCGCC